ACAGTTTCACGATGGGTAGTTCTGTGGAATTAATTTTTGCGAAACAGCTTCACGATGGGTAGTTCTGTGGAATTAATTTTTGCGAAACAATTTCACAATGGGTAGTTCTGTGGAATTAATTTTGCATTTCAATGTCCCTCATGACATTCCATGGGTGTTACCTCAGGAAGCCATTTCATCTTGACATTTACTGTAGAGGACATCTAAAGCAGGGGTCTCCAACCTTAGCAACTTTAAGCCTGGCGGACTTCAACTCCCAGAATTCCCAGCAAAGCTGGCTGGGGAATTGTGGGAGTTTTGAAGTCCGCCAGGCTTAAAGTTGCCAAGGCTGGAGACCCCTGATCTAAAAGCGCTCTTAACTTAAATGAAAGGAAGTCCTCCCTGCAGTTCATTTACAGAATATGAAGCTTCTTGACCAAAAGATTGCTTGCTCTGTCAGATTGGTCATCGAAGATGTAAATGTCTTGCAAAGGTGAAATGTTCTGTGACTGACTCATGAGACAAGCCTGAATAAACTCAATGTAAATGTTAAATTTCCATTTGAAATGTAAGCTCATTAAACAGAGATCCAACTGAGAACTCAGGAGAAGTTTGCTGACAGTGAGAACAATTAATCCATGGAATGACTTGCTTCCATAAGTTGTGGGTTGGAGATTTTCAAGAAGACGGTTATTTCTCTAGGATTGTGTAGGGTCTCCTTCAGTGGTGGGATTCAGGATTTTTTTTTACTACCGGTTCTCTGGGTGTGGCTTGGTGGGCGTGGCAGGGGAAGGATACTGTAAAATCCCCATTCCCTCCCCACCCCACTAACCTGCTTTCCAGCTCCCTTCTCCTGTGCAGGGCAACAAAAGAAGCCCCAGCCAATCAGCTGGGACTCGGGAGGCAGAGAATAGATGGGGCCAGTCAGAGGTGATATTTCCTGGTTCTCTGAACTACTCAACATTTCCGCTACTGGTTCTCCAGAACTGGTCAGAACCTGCTGAATACCACCTCTGGTCTCCTTCCATCGTCAGCAGGTTGGACTAGAAGACCTTTTATGTCCCTTGCAACCCTGTTGTTCTCTTTTCTAAATAGTCTTTTGGGTTGATCCTAAATCCTTTTAGATCAGGTGTCTGCCATTTGTTTGATTGAAACAGGTAGATGTTTGCATGTCTCTGTTACCTTGCTTTTTTCTAAAATAAGCCACTAGTTTATCCTTTATGTAGTAGCAAGATTTACCCTGAATACAGAATAAAGATGTACCCTGAATACAGAATAACTTTGTTTCCAGAAGGGAAACGGTCTTATGAATCTCAGATGGATGGAGTTGGAAGAGGCCATTTAGGACATGAATAGTCCAGGCCACTCCAGCTTAGCACTGGAATCCAAACGGAAACATCTGCAACCAATGGTTATCTTCCAGTGGAGCACATTCAGTAAAGGGGAGCCTTTTGGATCATGGCATTTGATGTTAGCGTTCTAGTTTTTAATCATTTAAAGCCATGATTTTATGTCATTCTCTGGAATGTCAAGATCAGGTCTTGGCTAATCTCTGGTGATATCGTATTTCCTGCTGCTAAAAAAATTATATCTCAGCTCTTCTTTGGATGGGATAATGTACGCTAAGCCATGATTTCCTAAATTAGCCTCAGTAGGCAGAGTTTACACAATGCTGAGCCCCAACTATGGTTTATAAACCAGAAAGGTTGGGTTCTCCTGACACACACTGGGCTCACATCGGCATAGACTACCCTTTTTAAGGCCCCTTAGGTTTTTCTGGACTTAACTTAGCTTGTTGAATAAATCCCACATAGCTAGATAGGTTCATAATGCTAAGCGGTGAAGCATGCTTTACTAATTGCACCAATGGGGTTTTGCACAACAGGGCAAGTCAAAAACAAATGAATCATGTACTTCAGTGCAATGTGCAAATTCAGTCAATAAAATATGCATTTTTGAGCACCCTGTCTATTCTTTTTTAATTATATACTGTAGGTAATCCTTGATTTACAACTACAGTTGGGAGTGGATTTTCAGTTGCTAAGCAGTGTGGGTGTTAAATGAGACATCCCATGACTGGCTCTGGTTTTCCAATCATTTTTTACTGCAGTCGTTAAGGGAATTACAGTCATTAAACGAATCTGGCTTCCCCAATTGACTTTGTTTGTCAAAAGATTACTGGGAAGGTTACAAATTATGTGACTGCTGGTCACGGTATGTGTGTGTGTATGTATGCGTAGGGTTTTCTTGCTTGAACAGTGGGTTGGACTAAAAGGCCTCTAAGGTCCCTTCCAACCTCATTATTCTATGTTCTAGTTGTCATAAAAGAGCTTGTTTGCCAAGTGCCTGAATTGTGATCATGTAACTGTGGAGATGTGTGCGACAATCATGGCTTCGAGGACAAGGTTTTGTATGTCACTTTTTCCAAGACTGTTGTCACTTCGAACCACCATTAAACAAATGGTCATAATTCGAAGACTTACCTTTATTAATATACCTCTTACTGCTACATTTTGGACAATAAAGAAATACTTATGACCACCATGGAGCCCAACATTTCTCTTGGTAAGCGAGACATTTGTTAAGTGAGTTTCCCCCCCCCCCCCATTTTACAATTTTTTTTCTTGCCACGTTTGTTAAGTAAATCACTGCAGTGGTTAAATTAGTAACGTGGTTATTAAGAGCCATGGTGGCGCAGTGGTTAGAATGCAGCATTGCAGGTTAACGGTGCTCAATGCCAGGAGTTCGATTCTGACCGGCTCCAGGTTGACTCAGCCTTCCATCCTTCCGAGGTGGGTAAAACGAGGACACAGATTGTTGGGGGCGATATGCTGACTCTGTAAACTGCTTGCTGGGAGCTGTAAAGTGGTATATAAGTCTAAATCAGAGGTCTCCAAACTTGGCACCTTTAAGACTTGTGGACTTCAACTCCCAGAATTCTCCAGCCAGCTTATGCTGGCTGGAGAATTCTGGGAGTTGAAGTCCACAAGTCTTAAAGGTGCCAAGTTTGGGGACCCCTGGTCTAAATGCTATTAAATGAATCTTGCTTTCCCCTTGACTTTTGCTTGTCAGAAGGTAGGGAGCAAATGAGATCGAAAAGATCATTACCATTTCTTTGTTCTATATACAGCCATCTTATTAGCTTCTTTTTTTACCGTCTAATAGTATTTTTTTCTCCTTGTGTAAGTGACCCAAACAGACTGCAACAATCTGTTTCTAATATTATGCTGTCTGCTTGTATTCTAGGACGACGGTTGTAGCCGCAGCTGCCTTCCTGGACGCTTTTCAGAAAGTAGCAGACATGGCAACCAATACGCGTGGTAAGCAGATGTGTCAGTTTTGGGTTTTTTTGTCTTTAACTTTAGCAGTTTGGTATGTGGACTGCAAAACCTGTAGGTGCTGTCTCCCTCTTCTCTTCTCTCTCTTTTTTTTTTTTGTGTTAATTGGCTATTGGGACCCATGGCATATCTGTTAAAGACATCTGTGAGTATTCCGTTTTCCCCTCCCCGAGTGTGAATCTCTGCCCGTGGCTTCAAAGAATGTAAGCCAGAAACCTGTCACTGAAACCTGCTTGGTGTGAATAACGGGCATGTGTGGTTTCATTGGCCATCTGAATGTGCTATTGTGGCTTTGAAACAAAAGGGCTGCTTCGTTTTATTGGAAGAGAAATTTATTGGGCCAGATTAAGTCTACGGTCTTGAGTTTTGGAAAGAGTGGGGAGGAAAGCCACAAATGCATTAAATGAGATGCAGTGTAAATATATATTTTTCCTCCCTCCCTCCTCCCTCCCTCCCTCCCAGAAGTAGAGGAAAATAAGCACAAGTTGGGTCAAGCAGGGGTGTCAAATTAGATTTCATTGAGGGCCTCATCAGTGTTGTGTTTGACCTCGGGGGGGGGGCAGGGGGCATGTGCAGCTCAACCTCACTCATCGAGGCTCCATTTTCGGCCACGATGGCCTATTGCAGCCCTCTGCCAGCAAAAATAGAGCCTGCGGTAGGGCCGCCCGCCCCCCCCCCCCCCGGCTATTAATTTTTGGCCACGACGGCCTCCGGCATCTTCTACCAACAAAAACAGAGCTCCACTTTTGCTGGCAGAGGCCCCACGGGCCGGTCCTTCACTGTTTCCAGGGCAGACCCGCAGGCCAGATCTAAGCACCCCGCAGGCCGAATCTGGCCCGCCGGCTTTGAGTTTGACACCCCTGATGTAAGGTGTCCTCCCTGTAATATACAAGACAGTCCATGAGCTGAGATGTAGCTACTTTCTCAGACTTTAGCTACAGGCTTTTCATATAGTAGAATTCTTAGGTTCACCTGCTTATGTTTCCAAATGAGTAAGTGCATTTGAAGCTGACTCGTCAGCACTTCTTAATTGATCCCGTCCAATACGAGACCCACTGAAAATGCATATTCACCGCAGTCCTATTACCTGGCTTTTATTGTGGGTAGGGTGGTTTCTCCAATCCTTCTAGTGCCTTGCAGTTGTTTTGAGACTTCACCTCCCAAAATTCCAAACTGAGTAGGAAGATTTGAAGGTTGTACCCATTGGGGAAATGTGAAGGAAGGATTATGTGTGTCTTCATCAGCAAGAAAAGGTTGTGGCTGACCTGGGTGCATTCCTTTGCTAATTAACAAAGCATGAGTTTTTTGTTTATCTTAAGGTGCTATATTTCAAACCTGTGTGTTAACGTTTGCTTTACAAAATTCTGTTTGTTTTACAAAGTTCTTTCTAAGGTTGATAGAATTGCTATTTAGCACTACCGTTGGTTTACTTGCCCTTTTGAAGATTGGTTGGCCTTCACAGATAAGCATTCTAAAAATATATTTTAGAAATATATAAAGACTTCATCTCATAGATTCTCCCTTTCCAAATATGCAAATATGCATTTTCTGGAAAATGTAAATAATACACAATTGATAATAATTCTGGGAGTGTCAACCAGGTTCAAGTTTCACCTTAAAAGAAGCGCACAGGTAACTTTAGTCATTTTCTTTCAGAGTTTATTTTATTTTATTTTTTTGTAGAAAAAGAGGTCTCATTTGAAGCAGTTAAAAACAGCCATCATTTTGTGCAGCTGTAACATTCTTGGATTTTTGGCTTAACATAATATGAGAACCCAATTTCTGTGGTTTAAAAACTGTGGTTTGGGGCTTGGTGTGACATAACCCAAGCTGAATGTGCTTAGCCAGCAGCTACGGTTAAAACATATCTGGCTTAATAGGGTGATGCATCCCCTTGCTACATTGCGCAGTAATTGCTGCACATTTCATGCATATTACCAGCAGCAAATTTCAAGTTTTCAGTGATGTAACATGCTTGTCTGTTTCTCTTGTAAAAAGAATGTCATATTATCACATTGATCTCCCATTCAAGTAATAATCAGATCCATCTTGCTCAGCTTTTAAAAGTCATTTGGTGTTAGCTACATGTTGTCATCTAGTAAATGATTTCTGTATGACTTATACCCGTGATGGCGAACCTATGGCATGTGTGCTGGAAGTGGCATGCAGAGCCATTTCTGCTGGCACATGAGCCGTCGCCCCAACTCAGTTCTACTACTCATGTGCGCACGACTCCTGCCAGCCAGCTAATTTTCGGGTATCTGCCGTGCATGCATGGGGCGGAGCACCTATGGGAGACGCGCATGTGCAGGGGGCAGGGGGTCGTGCACGCATGCGCAGGGGGCGGGAGGAGCACGGGGGTCATATTATGGGTGCAGGCACGCATGTGCATGCACTTTTGGCACGCAACGACAAAAAGGTTAGCCATTACTGACTTATACTATGTATGATGTACGGGTACTTCAGTATTTTGGGGGTTGTGGATAGACACACTGAGGAAAATTTAGCCAAGTCAAATTGTGCGTACTATAAAACCATGTTTTACCAGAATTTGATGCAACGGATTACATGCTGCAGCTTAAATATCCTCTGCAATTTGTGTCATGGATATAACAATGCCATTCCGCCAATAACACAAATTATATTATTTGCATCAGTTTCCTTCCTTGTCAAGCAAATAATGTACGTGCCATCTGTTCTTTGATTTGAAGACTTTCTTGAATAATAGACATCCCTCCGTTTCGTTCATCTGTTAAACCAGGCACCCCCATTGCATTTTCATATACAGGCAGTCCTTGACTTACAATCGTAATGGAACCTGCCCACCATGCTGGTAAATTGTGATAGTCTTAAAATGGATGGATCACAACCTTCTCTCCCCGGCTTCCAAAACAAAAAAGTTAAGCATGATTGACTGGGGACAGTTTGGCTCAAAACTGGAAGTGCTGGCTTTTTAGCAAAATTGTTGTGAAGCAATGCGGTCACAATGCAGTCACATGACCAGGGGTGGAACACAGCCGCAAATGTGTCTGTATTGCCAGTGGAGCCTTGAGTCCAGAGGTGGTATTCAGCAGGTTCTGACCAGTTCTGGAGAACCGGTAGTGGAAATTTTGAGTAGTTCGGAGAACGGCACATACCACCTCTGACTGGAGATTTTACAGTATCCTCCCCCTGCCACGCCCACCAAGCCATGGCCACAGAACCGGTAGTAAAAATAAATTGAATCCTGGATTCCGGTCGTGACCCGATTTGGTCGTGTCCGGAAGTATGAGAGGCTGCATATATGCGCAGTAAAAAAAAAATGGCAGCAAAGGGGAAATCAGCACCAAAAGGGAATTTTCCGTGCCGATTTTGTTCGCCACCCAGTTTGGTCGCGAACAGGAGCATTTGCGACCTGAGGTTCCACTGTGCCTGACATTTGGACATGTGACAGTCCCCTCAATCCCTTGGAATTTTGAATCTGGGTCATAAGTAGCCCCAAGGTAGATAAGTCATAATTTTGAACTGTCACTAAGTGACTGGTCTTACATCAAGGACCTATATGTGTTTATTAAATTTGTAACGCTCTTTTTAATAACTAGATTCTCCTTCATACTGATGCCATAATATGATCAACAGTACATTGGCCCCTCCAAAATACTAAAAACTACAAAGGACAAAGTTAAAAAAAAATCCAAAGGAGTAGCCTTAGATTCTATACTGCAGTTCCTCACATGCTGATGTTTCAGTATGTTTCTGTTTGTTTGAGTTTCTGGTAGTTTCTTCCTAAGTCATGTTTATTTTTTTTTCCTTAATATTTTGCAGTTGCCATTGAGAACTTCTCTGTGTTATGTATATCTGCCTTCTGTTAGAAACAAGTTAAAAACCTGCCCTGGGTTTTAGCTTTCATATACGTCCTATGTAGGGTCTTGGTTTCCATAACCATCTGTCTATGAGTGCTTCACAAAGTGAGGTCCAGATACAGTTTGACTATGAGGTTTATGCCTACGCTTCATTTCTTTTAGAGTTCTGTAGCATGGCTTATTTTCAGTGAATTTCTTTACATAGGGTTATGGTTCCTATAGTGATGACTGTCTAGGAATAAGTTATCATTAAGATAATTGGGTGTAATGATTTTAACCTAATATATGCTGCTTTTTATTAAGGTTATTCCTGGAGGAAATGCATTATGTTACGCATGACACAACCTTAAGTACCAAGATTCTGTTTGCTTTGCTGGACTAGACAAATAAATTAAGCTGTCATCTTTTCCCAAATATAATGGCTTTAAGGAAGGCATAGTTGCTGCGAGTGCAAATTTTTGGACAGGCTCTTGAGCTTTGGTGGAATTTTGGGTTTATAAAAACATAAAACTTCCTCTTTCAGTCCTTTCTTCAAAATGCTTTAGCCATCTACTCAGATATGGTGGTTTTATATTAGAAGAAGTCACGGGGTGGGCTTCAAAAATTGCAGCAATGGGTTTTCTGCCGGGTTGCTGGGTGGGTGTGGCCATGGTGGGCGTGGCCTAGTTGGCCTCCTGCACCATGGTGAGGGGGGGTGTTTTCGCTTTCCCCAGGCTCCGGAGGCTTTCCTCAAGACCCCGGGAGGGCAAAAATGGCCGCCTCTGGAGGCCAGAAATGGGCTTGTTTCTGGACTTCTGGAACTTCTGGGAGGCCTGTTTTTCCCCCCTCCCTGAGCCTCCGGGCGGGCCTTGCACTTACCTCACATCCAAAATGGGCCGCATGGAGACTCCTGAGATGGGGTGGGCAGGACCAGCCAGGGGTGGGATTTGGTGGTTCTCTGAATCAGCCATAACGTTAGCAATAGGTCCTCCTGAACCCAGGCGAACCCATAGCAGCCCAGCCCTGGAAAAAGACAGCCTTTTGACCTAGGCACCATTTTGTTGTTTTCTGTCCAGGCTGAAGAAACTGGTGGGATCAGTTTTGAAGTTTTGAGAATTCAGTTTTGGAATTTCTAGATCAGGGTTTCCCACCATTGGCAAG